TTATGGATTTTGAAGAGTAGAGTTAGTGTTTGTACGATTATATATTATGGTTAAATTTGTGCTGCGTTTTTTTTTACTTTTACGTTACTGTATTAATATAAGTAGTAAAGTAGTTTACAAACAATTATGAGAATGTAGGTATTTTAAAAATACTATATTAGTAACAATTTTTTTGATAGAATTATACTGAACTGAAGTTATAAAAAAAATGGTGTCGGTCTATATGTATATAATAATTATAATAATAATATTGTTGTTTTTGTTTACTATTGATAGTATAAATAAAATACAAATTACTTTACGAGTATGTAAAAATAGAGTAGAACACAGTATAAAGGCATGCTTTGTTGCTTTTGAAGTTTTTAATTTAAATCGAGTTTTTGAAATTTTACGAAATAATTGTATATGCAATTTGTTTATATAAATATATTACTTAAACTTAATATCTATCAGACCTATTTGAGTGTATTGTTGAACCGCCACTGGTGTAACCTTTATGCGCATCGCGACCATGTAGCGAATAACGTGAACCATATTGACTACCATGCCAACTTCTATATGGATCATATTCTTCGATTATTGAAGGCTCTTTCTCAATGATCTATAACACAATTGAAAAAAAATACGAATTTTAAATTAATACAATATATAAAACATATATATATAAACGATTTTGATAAAATAAAAATTTTTCTTCTTAATTGTATTCAAAACAAAATACCAGATTGGCCTAAATAGACTTGTTTAAACAATGAATAAAACTGTACCTCTGTATTCGCACAACTGCAACTCATTGCTGTGCAAAGGAATATATTCATAAGTAACATAATTAGGAAAAGCACTCCTAATGTAATCGCCAACCAAAGTAACCAGGTTGGACGTACACCACCTTCTTCACAAGTACCAGAAATTACTGAAAGTAAAAATAAAATCAATAATGACAATGTATATAATTTTTGATAATTTATTTTTGTTGTTATTAATTTTAACTTACATGAGGCTTCAGCTGGTTCAAGTACATATACTGTTGTACCGGCTACACTTGTACCTTCTTCATTCGGACCTACTTTACGACCACCTCCTTTTGTGAAACCAGCACCTGCTATTGCAACTTCATTACAATCCTCTTCCAAACAGCGACCATAACATTGAATAACATCACATTGTATTTGCAACTCAGAACCTGTGAAAAGATTGGATTAATATTATTTTGAAAAATTAGATAGAGAGGAAAAAATGAGAGCTAACATTTGACGAAATACTATTATAAGCCAAGAAAATAAAAAAACTTCGATACATACATATACATATATAGTTTCATAAGTGTATCAAAATTGATTACTTTGACGATATAGAGTGGGGAGTAATGTTAGATTCAATATAGCCTATTATTCAGATAAAGGGAACTTTAGCAATTTCAATTTGTGCAGATTCTAAGAATGACACGAAACTTGTATGTGAATTTATTCATAAGAACAAATAGGCAACATCATGGGGAGTAGATCTGCAGTTACGACACACATTGGAGATAGGCGTATTTATGCATTACAAGTAAACCGTTTAATACGTGCCTATATCTTAATATTAATTGAATATGAAAACATATCGGTGTCATCATGAAGAGTAAAGTTTGTAGTTGAGGCAAACATTGGAGACAAACGTATTTCTGCATGGGAAGTAAATCTGTATTGTATATCCTGACTTAGTTGGGTTAAGAGAGTTTTTGGTATAGGCAGTAGCTGATTTTTGTGCGGAGATATTTTAGTTGGAGACTTGTTAAATAAGACCTTATTGTGATATAATTATAATCGCGAAAAATATATTGACTCGGTATAGAGGGAGGGCCCTATTTACAAATATTTATGCATTGAATGTGTTATTTATAAATAATATCATATTTTATGTTTAGTCAGGCATGTGGTTAAGAGGACACTTGAGGGTATAAAAACAATGAGTCGAAGGACTATATGTATACATATCTCTATTTATTACAAATACACATTATGGCATGACTAAGTGGTATATTAAATACAGCATATTATTTTGAAGACTTCTCCTCAAGTAAAACCATTGCTATGGGTCTGAGTTCTATAGCAGTGAGTAGATTTAAATATATTCCTTAATATTAGTTGTTTAATAAAAAAATATACATACCTTCAGGGAACTTGAACATAGACTTAATAGTTGCATCAGCAGAATGACCATCGGCACTCGCTACAAATTGTGTAATTATCGAAGGATTCTTTGGGCAACTGAAATTGAATCCAACATATTAAATATGAGTGTGTAATTTAGAGTATGATATAAATTTTAAAATATATACCACATATATATAAAACCATTTCATAAATAAGAAATAAAAATTGTTTGGAATATCAACTTACCCTCTGTCATCTAGCAAAGTGATATTGAAATTCTTCTTATCAAAAGCCAAACAATTTCCAACGCGTATGCCATGAGTGCCTTAAAATAGAAAAATTCGAAAATTTTTTAAATATAATTTAATTAAAATTTTTAACTATAAAAATGTATAACTCGAATTTTTCTTATCTAAATATTTTATTAAATTATTAAATAAAATTTTTACCATTTGGTCTCGTGAACTCCGCACGTAATTTGTACTCATGTCCATAAACCGTTTCACGTACTCGCCTGTCATTTTCTAAGAATTTTAGTATAACGTGAGCATTGTCATCTCTGCAAGTAATTAAAAAAGATGAAATTATGGATTCATATTTATGAGATTTTATAGAAAGATTACGATGCTAAAATATTTTTTGTTCATTTTACACGTACACAATGTAAAAGTTATGTTTAGTAGGTCAATTTTTTAATTTCTTCACTGATCTCGTGAAATTACTTTTCTAAATTGATAAGAAATATATTTAGTCTTGCCTTAAATTATTTAGCAGTTTATTTTTTCGACTTCATACCATTAGCGAGAAATGAGAGCAGCTTTCTATACGAAGAAATAAGTCCAACTTCTCATAAAATAACTAAAATTTATAAAAAATAAAACTAAGTAGGTGGGTTTCAGTGGGTTATATAACTATATATAAGTATATATAACTTTTTAATAATAGGTATTTGACGTGATGCTATCTATTGGCACTTACATACCTACGTCGAAAAGGTAGATGATATAGTAAAGTAGAATGTTGTTTCATATGTCGAGAAAACATTTTTTTACCTAATAAAGCCTATGTGGACTGTCAAATTAGGAAGTCAGCGTTGTCAACTTCCAATGTTACCAAATGTAAATAATATTTGAATGACTAGAGGTTAAGTTACTGTATCTGAAGTGATAGTGCCTCAGCATGTCAGATATTACTCAGTGTTTTGAATGGCTTCATCCTATGTTTATATAACCTCTCTGAAAGTTATTATTTTTCATCGGCATTTTTTCTAAAAAAGTGGAGCTATACGGTACCAAATGAATTGAACTTGGATTGACTGTTAAATTGGGATTTGCGAGAACCTAGATTTAAATAAAATCATATAGTACATATATGACTTATGTTAAATTTTGGACACCCAAATATTGTGTTTTATTTCAAAAAACAATAAAAATATTCATGATGTTATTCTAAATGACTAAAATAAAAAATGTAAAAGTTTGCTGATATCAAAGAGAATGCTTTTTGTCAAATGACATAAACTATTACCAAAGTGGGCACTGTTTTCCTCAGAGTTGTTATTGCATCGTAAATTATTCTAGTGAGCAAGTATAAAAACGACTAAACTTGTGCTATGAGATAGCATGGGAACAGTAAGTGAATGTAAGATAGGAGTAATAAAAGATATAAGTAGGTACGTTGTTTCTAACCTCAACCTAGATTAAGGATTCTTGCCACCTCAATCAATTGGGTTTAAAATTATGAGAGCATAAGTTTGAATCAAACAAAATTGTGACACATACGTATTTATGCGTGACAACTAACTCTTTAGTAAGTGGACTCAATTGGGTCAACATAATTATTGCTGCATGGGAGATAGGTCTTTGAATTTACAGATTTTAGTCATCGACATATGCAGTATTTTGCTGAAAATGGCGCCATTTGTATATCTATTTAAGTAAACATACTGTTTCCTTACATTTTGTTTTTCACATTCTGCTTCCGTTAAACATTAAATTAAGACTATTAAGTTTTTAAATTTAACACAATTGCAAAAGTAAGCTTAACCAGTGGGGACGCGATCTTTACTGACACAAGGGATACTACACCGTTTTAAGTCCCTGATATATGTATACATAAAAATATAATATATAGAATATATACGTTTTGGAGATTTGAGTGACGTTCAGGGCATGCGAAATTTTCTTGACTCCATTTACTACATTTGGTAAATTGCGATAACAGATGGATGGGTCTATTGTGCTCATAATAAAACTAATTTGTTTTTTATTTTGTTAAGTATATAGCCAAGGTTTTTGAGTTTAGTTCCATTATAGTCCGCTTGTATTAGTTTCCAGTGCCTAATTTCAACTGTCTAATTCAGCACAATTCAGGTCAGCTGGACAGTTGAAAATAGGATACTCCATTGTGTCTTTGCAGATGTATCCTTTTTGGTTTTAAATTTTTCCTATCCCTATTTTAAATAAATACAAATTTCTTTATATAAAATGCTTGATTGAAAAGATATTTGAACTATTTTTAATAAATGAAATAAATCTCAAAAAAAATAAAAATAAAAAATAAAATTTATTTGTGTTAATGACATTTGCTTGAATTGATGCCAAGCGTTGGTTTATGTACTAAACGTCAACTTTTGGAAGTCATGTGGGCATCAAGTATAGCAGACAGAGAAATATGCGAGTATCTGAATGAGCTAAGTCAACTTGTATTCATATTTTTAAAATGAAAATATGTATATAGAATATACATAACCATACATACATTCATACATATTTACAATTATTTATATCTTTATGTTTAGTAAAGTATTAAAATTGAATAAATGTAGGAGTTGTATTAAAGTGTATTGTTGTGCAAAAGATTTTAAGATATTTTTGTAAGAATACGTATATTGCAAGATTTTTTATTTTCTTTTTTAAAGGAAATTCAAGGGCAGATTAAAGTTAAATTAAATTTTATTCTTAATTCTCACTTTTTGTAAAAAAAATAAACACAAAAATCGAAATACTTTGAAATGAGCTATATAAAGTAATTGCATTAGCCGGAAAAGATATAACAAATGTAATTATTGTATCGATTGTTCGATTGTATTTATTTGAGATAAATGTAAAAGTTTGTTGCTTAAGTCTTTTGTTTGATTACAAAATTGTTTGCATTACGGAAAAGCCATACTCTTATGTTATTGTTTAATATTTATAATTGTTTGCTTGGTAATATGATTTAATAGATTTTATGCTCTGTTAAATTGCAAAAATGTACAAATTAAGCATAAATTTGTATACAGCAATTAAATATATAAAACTACAATACATATGAATATGTATACCATAAATATATATAGTATATTAGAATTGTGTATAATGTGTGGACATGGACACTGTCTACATCAACCATGACGAAGAAGAGTAATATTTTTGCACAAATATTGCGTGTTCCGATTGTATTTACAAACAGTAAACAAAATTATTTCTGTTTATTTAGAGATACTTACGTTTTATACTTGTGAGTGTGCGAGTTAATAATTATCTAATATTTGCGGAAAAGTCCAAATGAAAACTTAATTACATTCTATTGCATTGATAATTAAAAATTGCATGTTCTTAAATGATTTAATTTGTAGAACAGAAACTATTTTAGAAAGAGAAGGGTCAGTAAATTTATCGTAAAACAATTAATTAAGATTTCTTCTATTTCTCATATTTGAGATTTAATTAGTTCACATAACACTTAAACGAGGTAGCAGTAGCATATATACACAGTAGTATAGTTAATTAATCTACGTTTTTAATTACTTGTAGTTTAGTGTCTTTGGGGCGTGGAGCTGTCATCCTAAATCATGTTCTTATGATTTAGGTTGAGAATTTCAACAGAATTTATACATAAGTATCAATATTTCAACTACAAAATAAATGATTTACTTATTAATTAAGAAAAGTACACTTGCTTGAAGTCAAAAGTTTTCGAGTTGTGTTTGCACTGGGAATATGTTATACATAAGCAATCATTCTTTTGCAGTGCGTCATTCCATAGCTCCATATTAAACATCTTCACGTAATTTTATAGTGTTCTCTTCTTCTTCTTCTGTTATCTTTGCGTTGCAGATTGTCGATATTGATACACGGAAAGTTTGATGTTGCTTCTATTTGTCCAAAGTTTATAATAGATTTTCTTCAATATTAACAATCTCCATAATGGCTTGATAATGAAATTTTCTGTGGCGTGTTAATAATATCAACTGAAAATTTTTGCTTTGTGTAACCAATCCATTCAAATTTGGAAAGGATTTTCTCTTTTTTTTTTTTTGCGTGAGTAATACGCCGCAATAATGTTTTTTCTTAACTCACTAATACTTCTAGTTTTGCTCATAGCTGTATAGATTTTTTATTCATTTCTTTCGATGTTAATCGTCTCCACATCATTTTGCAGCGCCCTCTTCTTCTGTAATCTGAGGCACTACATCGTAAATCCACATTAGCTACACCAACTAAATATTTTCGCAATATGTGACCATTTCATCCAAATTTCGAATTTTGATATTAGTGTTCGGAACGTTTGTTCTTTCCTATATATCTTGATATTTTAAAAGGCATCGATGGATGAGACTTTTGTCATATTCATTATACTGCAAATTATGCGTCAAAACCATAGAACAGTATGCAGAAATTAAAAAATGATATATCTTACAAATAATTCCATTTATTTTTTTATTCTTCATTCTTTTATTCTATTATTGCACTTCATTTTTTATTCCATGTTAATGATATCATTAAAACATTTAGGTAAAATATGGTTCAAATCCTTTCAGATTTACGTTTTCGATATCGAGTGCGTTTCTCTGTAGTTTTTCATTTGTTGTACTCTCTAAACCAGAGAGATTTGAGGAAATCCCATAATTTTGAGAATTTTGGGAAGAAGATTTTGAATTTTAACAAAAACATCATTAGATAAGGAAATTTAAAAAAGGCGGTTTTTGAGATAAAATATTGGTTCAACATTTTCCAAAAAAAAAAATCATGATGCATTAGTAATGAATAGATATATATGTAAATATAGACCTTCAATTTATGTATTTTAGCGGTTTTAGTCCGCTCACAACCCCTGCACTTGGTCTTTTGATTGCTTTTTTGCGAAGACTCTTCTGATTTGATATTTTTTATTTTATTCGTACTCCAATTTAATGTTTAAAAACTTTCCAAATAAAAGAGCCCCTCTGTTCAGTTAATTGGCTTTTGATTCTATTTTGAAGATTCTATTCATTCATTAATTTCTTTCGTTTATTATTCTATCTCGCTCCTTTGATAACAAACTCGTTTATATCGTTTATATTATTCTATCTCGTTCCTTTGATAACAAACTAGCATATATCATATGTATAATGAATAATGGGATCTGGTACTTTAAATTGGTTATTTACTATTCAACTTATATAATGAATAGATTTAATAACTAATTTCTATTCAATAAGTATTTTTTTGATTAACCTTCACATAAGAAAATGGTTAAAATTAAATCTTTAACTGAAGCAACCAATTTTTAATATAAACTACGTAAGTTCCTAGCTAACCTACACTAATTTAACAAAAATAGTGTGATTAATTTTAAAATAACCAATACAATATTTTTTATTTTAAACATATTTTAAAAAATCTGAAATTTATTTTATAATACTTGTGTGTACTTAAGTGCAGTAAAGTGGCATAAGAGTCATCAATCAAAAATTGACAGAATCAATTTAATCGCAAATCAACGAAAAAATTTTAAATTTTATAAGTTAAATTAAAATTTTAATATTATACGAGTATATAAAATATTATACAAAAAAACTTACCGTGCAAAACCAGATTTTCCACAGGTTATAACATAGAATTTGTCATCAGCTAATTCTAGGGTCTTATGAAGACGAACCGCCAATTGAATTGAACGCTCTTCGGTACGCTATAAAAATAAAAATTGTTAATAAAATAATTATAAATGTAAATAATGATTAGCAAAAATTATTATTTAATTTTTATTAATAATCGATTAATCGATTAAATTCCTTTGATAGAAACTAAGTTAATGTAGAATTCCTTTTCCAATTGAAAAAGTTATAGTCAAAGTAAATTAAAAGTATTTTATTGCTATTATGCCACGGTCTAATATTTTTTATGTTTAGTTTTTATTATTTATTAAACTAAATTAAAGTTAAATAACATTACTGTAGATAGTTAAGGTAGTTAGCGTTTATAATCCATGAACATACCACAGTTTTATTAGCTTTATTAACTGTTCACAGCATGCCACATGTGCAGCAAGTGATACTTTTAAGTTTTATATTAAAATAGTTGATAATTTAATTACTATATTTTCTGCATTTAAACTTACTTTGTACTCTACACTTAACATATTCAGTTAAATCTATTTTGAATGCAAAGGTGATAATAATCGATTAAGTTAATTTTCTAACAAATCATTTATCGTATGAATGAGTAATATTACAGTGTGTATATATATTTAATCCTTTAACTCCTAGGAGGAGCATAGGGCCGCTCCAGTGTGTATTAATGATAAATAATTAAATCACTAGTATTTAGTATAATGACTATTCAGAAATTATAAATATTAATCATTGTGGGTCACAAAGATATAATAGAAAAATCTGGTATCTAGTCATAGTGCCTCCTGCGGTGAAGGTTTTAGAATATTCCCGAGATAAGGCATGCCTATCGTAAAAGGCGACTTAAATCCCGGTGCTACGCGGACACTTGTGCAAAAGTGTACATAGTAGTAGGTTTCGTCCCAGCCTAGAATATTTGACCAGAGGTATAAATCTGATACTACGGGGGTCAGTTGCCCGCAGCTTCGGCTGTGCTGACCAGTTGAACTCGTAGTGACTGTGGTTAATACTTAAACTTACACATGTAGAATGATCAGATAATTGTTTATCTTTCATTCGGCGTGGAGTTACGTATTTATCATCGAGTGCTGTGACGCAAAGATCAGCAGAGGTTTGTAGGTAGGCCTCGCATCAAACCATGATAGAATTTATGTTTTGTACATATTTCTTTATTGGTATCGGCGGAAATTTCTTTTGAAATTCCAATGGAGCGTTGATTAATGCTTTATATTAATATTAACTCTCTACGGCATAGAAAGTTTCGTAAAATAACAATAGAGAGCTAGATTTAGTCATAGCGTCATAGTATCTAGAGCTAAACTTTTCTACTATTGGTAAAGTAAAAAATACAAATTTTGTTTAACAATTAGGGTATTCATAATTTCCAGTAACAAACTTAACAGTCGAGTAAATATCAGAGTAGATATACTTGCATCTGGCATTTTATCTTTAATTAAAATCGTCAAATATTTTATATAAAATCCAATCATTATAAAAAATTTTTGAATAAAGTTCCAGTTTTTTCTCTCTTTAAAATATGAGAATCGGGTTTATTGAGATACCACAGATAACTCATACCACAGATGGAAACTACTTTCTCACCTTAATAAAGCAGACAATGTATAGGTATTAACCTATACACATAATATCGGACAGATATTTTGAAAAATAGTTCCCAGAGTGGTTTTGCGCCTTCTGAAGAGTATGGGGCAGTAATAGAGCAAATAGATCATGCTTCCTCGTTTTTCTATGACCCACAACTATAGCAGTAGTCGCTGGAGATATCCCCTAATCGGTCGGCGTGTATACCAAGGCAACAGCATTTTATGTACATCTTTAAGCTATTGTTTGCCCTACTGTGTCTGCCCTTGTAGGTATATATAGAAACCTTGTGATGAAGTTGAGGAAGCATAAGACCTTAATCAATAATGGGAAAGATTATGGGACCAATAAATAATATGGTAATTACAGTAGTCATTAATTGGCTATTGCCATTAACGATTACAGTAACGATTACTTACAAAAAATGTCAAATTAAGTTTTAAATTAATCGTAATTATATGACGGTCATCTTCTAGTAACTATTCGAGTCATTCTAATAAAATTTTCGAGTACAAATAATACTAATCTATTTAATCAAAATGTTCACAAATATCTTATTTTAAATTCATTATGTGGCTAACTTCACTTAGCGTTTTAATAAAAGAAATGTTCAAAACAAAAGAAAAATGCATTCAAAATCAACAAGGAAATGGAAAATGCCACCGAGTGTGACGGAAAAGTACAATTTTCTCATTTTCTTACATATTTGTTTTTATTACATATTTTTAATGTATTTTTCTATATTTTCCTTATGATAATCACATCGAGTTTTCTTTTTTCTTAATGTTCATACAATGAGGAAAAACCCTCACTTTAAGTGGAGACTGTGATGCATTGGCTCATAATCGTATGGCACTGCAGGTAAATCATTACTTTTTTGTATCTGAACATTGATAGCAATTTTAATTCGTTATTTCTTACTCTTTGAGATACATATTTCTTTTTGTAGCAATAATGTAATACTGTAGTAATGTTTCGCTAGTAATTACTACAGAAAATATTTTGTTTTGTTATAATTATTAATTTTTTTTCCTTTCTGGTTGATGAGTTAAAATAGTTGTAAGTGCGTATTTATCTTTAAGTGGTTATTAACTTTTAATTTTTTTTTTTATGAAAAAAAAAAAATATTTAGGAAATGTTTGAAATGATATTTGGAAGATACTTTTTTGTTTGTTATTTATGGGTTTAATGGTCTTTCAAGTAATTATTTTTTTGTTATGAAAATCAACTGGTCACTAACTTTGCGGTACTTTTGTAGCGGCAATAAATGCTGTTTATTGTATTATTAAAAGAGTTGTTACTTTAAATGAAATGAATTGAGCACCCAGCACTTGAGAATTGCATAATTTAAATTTTTAAAATTTTAGAGAAAATTAATTTTTACCGCTACTAAAACCTAAAAGACTTAAGCGCAAAACTCGAAATTTTAAAAGTAATGCTAATTAATGATAAATAATAGCTTCTGGTATGCTATTGTCATAAAAGTTATTTTTTTTATAACTAAAAAAGATTTATGTCTGTATTTATGTTGTTATGTCAGGACATAACGATTACCTTGGCAAGTGCTTGGTAGTTGAGTTTTCAGGCAAAGGTGCAGTGAGTTGGCAGAGAAAGGCGCAGTGAGTTGGCAGGCAAAGGTACAGTCATAAACTGCATCAGTTATATTTTATACTGGTATTTATATTGGTGTGTACATAACAGTAAACATTTGTAAATGTTCTCTCAAAAAAGCAAAAAATTAGGTGAAAAAATGCGATTTATGTCTATTTAGTAACTGATTAACTTGAATAGGACCTTAATGGGGAAATAATATTCTTTGTAACCGGTCATTACCTAATAGGAAGGCATGCACAGTGACCTACAGCCATTACTGATGATTTTTATGACCTTTGCATATAGAAATAGAAAATATTTAGACACACTTTATGTGTCAGTGTCCAGCTTTGAAGAAGCAGGGCTACAATTTTTCGTTTACGACCCCAAAGCACTATCAGAAACGAATATAGTTAGCCAGAAAATGGTGGTTCATTTGTTTTTGCAGCTCAATACCAAGAAAACGGAAGACCAGTGGATTAGGTGTGGATCATACGACAGTATATCTGTGAAAAAAATCTCAGATTTTTTTTTTTCTATTTTAATTATTTGATTAAAAGCTGATGAAGTAATTCTTTATTCTGTAACAGCGCAACTTAAAAACTATTCTATTTTTATTATTCTATTTTACTATTCTATTTTATTTTACAATTCTATTTATTTTACTATTCTATTTATTTTACTATTCTATTTTGAAAAATCACAGTTTCTAAATTTACTTTAGAGATATGGTTTAATGGTATCATTTACTCACAATAGTATTTCAAATCGTATCTTGTTATACGCTTTTGTCTAAATTTTTGTCTTAAACCAAAAACAGAAATATATTTATATATAACTCTATATATATAGATATATAGATATATATAGATAAAATATCGGTATAATTATTATCTTATTTATTTATTTTACTTATTATTATAAGTTTATATATAATAATTATTATTGTTAATCATCTAAAAAAGATTGTAGTTCATTGCTAGTATATTTCAATAATTTTGTTAATATGATTTTATTTTATTAATTTATTATTTTTCAGTACAATAATTAATCATTCATATTAAATCTTGTTAGAGTTTATCTTTATTATTGTAAATTTACTCACTTGAATAATATGCATTATATTTTTGTTAATATTATTTTTTTATTTTCTTTTTAATTTGAATTAAAATTAAAGTTTTAATTAAATGCTTCAATAAGTTGTGTGGAGTTGGAGTTGATGGTCGAACTATGTATCTACACATCAACGATTTTGACAATGACTACGATGAGCTCATTGTTTGGCGAAAATAAAAGCAATAAAACAGCGCTAGGCAGACTCAATTCATTTATGACGAAACACTGGTTGAAAATGCATTACATATTGCTTAAATATATTTTTTTAATTAATTAAATTTTAAATAATTTTTAAATAATTTTTAGAATTAATTAAAAATTATTGTTTTATGTAAGTTTATATGATGTATGAATTTATTAACAAATTTAGTTTTCGCATAAGGTAGGTTGGCACAATGGTTTTTTGGTGTGACATATAGATAACGCCTCAAATCAGATTTATTTTAAAGTCTATGATATATATACAAGTAAGAGAAAGATTAAAAATGTTCACTATTAGCATAAATAGTGGTATACAATATTTTTAATATATTGAATGAAAAAAGTAACGAAAAGTGATTAAACGCTATTTCTTAATAAGGAAAAATACCGGTGAAATAATCGTATGGATATAAGAGGTTTTAAAGATGTTTTTATAAAACCAATTATAATTTATTGGTAGACTAGTTTTAATTGTGTTTACTCAAAAAACTCTGCACATTTAAATGAGATTGTTTTTCCAGAACAGTTACAAAATTTATTGAAGTTG